ATGAATGAGACACACCTGAGATCAATCAAACACAATCGGAACAGTAACAGGAAGATAACCAAATAAGGGCATGTCACACACGAGGGAATACTAGGTCAATGGGAGCACATGGGGAGCAAAACACACACAGACAGTCCATATTTCTGACATATCGGCCCCCTCCCGGAAGGCGCGTCCTCGTGCCGAAGAAACAACAGAAGGTGGGATGGTGGGGAACTTGGGAGGAGGCTCAGGAGGAGGATGGACACACGGGAGGGGGCCGGCAGACAAGAGTCCAGGGAGGTGACGATGGAGGGAGGAGCCAAGGAGGAAACAGGAGGAGCCAAGGCAGATCAGACGGAGGGAGGAGCCAAGGAGGAAACAGGAGGGACTTGGAGCATGCGGCACCAGGTGGGACCCAGGCCACAGCCATAATGGCGACCCATGGAGCAGGTGGCGGAGGAGCCCAAGGCGGAGGCGGGGATCCAGAAGGCTGCGGTGGAGCCGGAGCGACAGAGGACTGAGGAGGAGCCGAAGGGATGGAGGAGCCTGACAGAGCCGGAGGGACGAGGCGCAGCCAGAGGAGTGGAGTCCCGAGGTGACGGATGGTCGACAACAGACCAAGGCTGAGCCGGAGGGACGAGGGAGTTCGGTGGAGCCAGTGGACTGATGGGCCATGGCGGAGAGGAGGGAGCTAGGAGCCATGGTGGAGCCTCCGGGCTCTCCGGGCTTAACTTGGGAACAGGAGCCCTCTCTGGGCTGGACGTGGGAACAGGAGCCCTCTCTGGGCTAAACTCAGAAACGGGAGCCCTCTCTGGGCTAAACTCAGGAACGGGAGCCCTCTCTGAGCTAAACTCAGGAACAGGAGCCCTCATTAGGCTAAACTCAGGAACAAGAGCCCACTCTGGGCTAATCTCAGGAACGGGAGGGACAGAGGTCACCGACGGAGGAGGGAGGAGAGGGGGCAGGTCGGTAAATAAAGTCTTCCTCCACTTTCCATTCACCCAAATCCCTTCTCAGCTCACCCTCAGCCACGGTGCGGAGCTCCTCTCTGCGCTCTCACTGTCAACGGCTTTCTCCCTCGTGGCGGGCGTTGTAGCCGGCTCTCGCACCTGGTCTGACGATCCGTGAGGCTCTGGCTCCATGGCGATCCTCAGCTCTGTTGCACACCTATGTGATGGCTCTCCGTCAGTGGTGGGCTCATGCTCTTGCTCCACGCAGCGGGGTGATGGTGGGTTTAGGCTCTGGGTCTGGCTGTATTCTGGATCTGGGGTAGACGCTCTCCAGAGTCGACGGGGCGGTAGTAGTTGGCCCCGATCCAGAACAGGGAGTTCAGCGCAGCGTCGTCGAACACCGTTAAAACGGCGAGCTCCACAGCATACTCCAAGAGGGAAAGGTCCTTGCGAAACGAGGGGAACAACGCAAATAAAATATTTTTAAAGGTCCAGTGTTCTGTCACACTGCTACTGTGAGGAGCGAGGAGACGTGGAGAAAACACAAATAAGAGAGTCTTTAATGATCCAAATTCCAGGGAACACAGGGCACGCAGGAGACACACATAGCACTAAATGACGAATAACACTGGACGCTAGACACGGGAACACACAAGGCTAAAGTACTCAACTAAACGAGGGGATGACAAGACACACCTGGACTCAATGAAACACAATAGGAACAGGAACAAGAAAGAAACCAAATATGGGCATGTAACACACAGGGAAAACTAGGTCATGGGGAGCAGAACACAACACAGACAGTCCATATTTCTGACAACTCTATGGTTAGGGTTAGGATTAGGGTTACTTGCATGTAATTATGCATAATTTATTGTTATTATAATAGTAAGTACATGTAACGTGTAACAAGGACACCTTAAAATGACTTCCTAGGAGGGTTTTATAATTAGATAATAAAATCTAGATCTTTAATTTCTGACGTTTGGTTTTCATTTGTGCTGTAAAATCTAATTGGTGGACATCATATGTCGTAACGACAACAATAATAACAACACGCAAATCATTAAACGTCAAAAAACGTACTTATTTTTCAGTACAGTGGACCAACAGTAATTTTATCCTTGTGAAAGTACATTTGTCATAGACGAAACTCCTGTAATATAAGTAGGCTACTGTCCTACTTAATTATTTAATGTGGTATAAGGGAAAATAATGACTGAACTCTGGGTCAGCTTTCCTTACATAAACCTTCATTAAAAATAAATAAAATAAGCTTAAGCAAACAAACCTAATTTGAAATTCCTGTTTGTATATATGTACAATGTTGCATTTAAATGTCTTTTTTCAGTGAAACTGAAAGTATAGGTTATAATTAAAGGTTTAATTCATGTTTTCAGGTTTCATCTTGATCCTTGAAAATATTCTTTTTACAATTTTTTTCTTTATTTTAAGTCATTTTGGAAACTATCAAAGTGTCCAACACAAAAGGGGGATCATAATAAGGGAATCCCATTGGGAAAACTTATGTATTTATTTCATCCTAGAATCCCGATCTGTTTGCAACAATGGAATTAATTTGATAAATAAACCACCACAGACATGTACAGCCATAAACCTTTTATTGCACATATTAAAACCGCATACAAATACATTTTACACAAAAATATTTACATTGTACATACAAATATTAACTACAGGTCATCCTCATTGTGTAAATTTGATTTGGTTCCAAATTTAGTATCTAGTACAAAAAGAAACAGTGTTTGTGCATTCTTCATGCACTATCTTCGTGGTGGTGGTCCACCTCTCCCTCTTCCCATCCCTTGACCCGGTGGAGGTCCGCGGGCATTACCTGGCAGAGGCCCGGGTGGCCTGGGACCTGGCGGACGAGTCACTGGAGCTCGGGGATTTGCAGCCGCCAAAGACACATCCTTCTGAACATGTACCCCTTTCCCAGTGGCTGCAGCACCTGGTTTGCCTGTCACCTTTGGTGACTTGCTGAGCTGGTCAGCTGGTTTCTCTGTAATAAAAATGGGAAGTTTATCACAGCAACAGGAACTTCATTGGGAATGAAGACACACATTCAAGTTTGAAGATTTCAGGAGTCTGGAGGTGTCTCCTACAATGTCTGTAAAAACACAGCAAAAGAAACAAGTCGTGACTAGTTGAACGTGTTGTTCAGCCCACTGACCAGTCTCTTCAGCAGATGGCGGGGGAATCAGGGACTTGTTGGGCAGAAGATCCTCCAGGTCTTTCATCACCTGGTTAGTGCTGTCCTTGTTGTTCCTCCTGTTCTTCTCCTCATCTCTTTGCTTAATGATGGAGCAGAAAATAACAACCAATTGCTGACACTGCTGATGTCAGACAACTTTGCCATCATTTACAAAAAATATTTACCAACCATTTGCATTTTGCGTTTTAAGTCCATGTTAGCGTTCTGATATGCTTTGGACACAGCATTCAGATAATAAATAGCCAACCTGTCAGAGACAAGACAGACAGATCGTTTTATTAAAAGCTAAAGAATATAACATTTATCTTTATACTTTTGGTGATTAGGTGACTACTCACACCATGAGTAAAACTGCAGGCATGATGAGGCCTGGGTTGGATGCATAACTGAAGATGTCAGCCATAAAAGGTGGCAAGTCCTTCTCTATAGTCTCCATGATCACATCATACATCTGATCTTTACCACTGTGGAGAGACATGGATCTCATATTGCTCAGGACATTCGTTATTCAACATTATTCAAAATTGAAATATTTCACAGTTTAGGCCTTTTAGAAAACTACGATTTTTTTTTTTTTGCGGATCCAAAAAATTTATGACAATTAAAAAAAATTATTATTTTTATTCCATACTGAGGGAGCAACATGAAACAATCTTGTTATACTGTAGCAATATGTTTTTGTAACATTTTAAGACATATTTGTTCCAAATAACCTGCAAATGACAAACATTTTTTTGTTTGTTTATTTAATCACTTTTGGCTTTTTATAACAAGTATTTTATAAGATTTCCTGTATGATTTTGCCTTTAATTATGGAAGCCCCATAAAAAACCATGCTTTTGTAAATCATAATTGAGATAAAGAAATAAATATGAGATCAAATGTCCTAATTATGAAATAAAAAGTTAAAATCAGGACATACCAAGTCCTAATTATAAGCTAAAAGTCAACATTTTTGTCATAATTATGACACAGTATGTGAACTTTTTATGTCATGACCTAAAATGTCATACTTTTGACTTTTTATCTTATAATTATGACTTTAGTACTTTAATTTAGACTTTTTATCTCATGACCTAGTTTGACAATTTCGACATTTTATCTTATGATTTTGACTTTTTATTTCATAATTATGACCTTTTTTCTCATAATTTCAACATTTAATTTAATAATTATGATATAACAAAGACCAACTTTTATTCATGTGGTGGAAATGGGCTTCCATATTTAATAAATAAATAAATAGGGACAATAAATCTATTCTTCCTGACTTAAGGAATAATTTATTGCAGTTGAGGCATTCTGTACTTTTTCACTTTTTTGGCTTATTTAGGATTAGCAACATGAATGTTCAGGAGCTACCTGAAGGGTCCACAGTCAAAGGACGGTGGCAGGGTCATAATGGTGTAGACCACAGGCATGAGACTGAGGAAGAGGACGAGGAGGAGCAGTCCCATGTAGAAGTTATTAGAGCGTGAGGCTTTGAACACTCTCTCGTGGGGAACGTTACAGGCCATCACAGCCCAGCACTGGTAATACATGGAGCTCAGCAGACGCAACACATTTACGCCCACCAGCCCAGGTGCGTAGAATGCACCCATCCTAGAAAACAGACATATGTGAAATCATCACATTGCCCATCACAGAGATGATATGTTTTCACTCTTACTCACCAGATCATTCCCTGATTAAAGATGAGCCCAAGCACATTACCACTGATGTCAAATTCTGCATAAGACGGCTGCAGAAACACAAACACACACACACAGATATGCGTAAATGACAACACGGAAATAAATGTCACAGTAAAAGATACCTCTCCCTGTAATTAAGTGCCCTGAATGGTGTAGTGTGTCTCTCTGTGACTTTGGTTGTAAAGCAGCCCTATCACCTATCCTGCCACCTTCTCATGGTGTTCAGTTGACCTCGGATGAGTGAGTAGTATGTTACCTATATCGAGTGACAGGAAAGTGAGGGCAACAGGGCAAAGCCATATAGAGCATATACTTAAAGGGATAGTTCACCCAAAAATGAAAATTTGATGTTTATCTGCTTACTCCCAGGGCATCCAAGATGTAGGTGACTTTGTTTCTTCAGTAGAACACAAACGAAGATTTTTAACTCAAACCGTTGTAGTCTGTCAGTCTTATAATGGAAGTGAATGGGAATCACGGCTTAGAGAGTCAAAAAAACATATACAAACAAAACCAAATTAAACCCTGCGGCTCGTGACGATACATTGATGTGTAAAGACACAAAACAATCGGTCTGTGCAAGAAACTGAACAGTATTTATATCCTTTTTTTTTACCTCTGATTCACCGTCAATGTCCGAACTGTCCTGAGCCACCTATCTCTCAAATGGACACTCTATCTACAATCTCAATTAGGAGTGTCAATGGTCCATTTGAGAGAGAGGTGGCGGTAATGCACTTATAAGTCTGCGATCTGCCGTAACGCAAGAAGAAGAAGACGCGTCACGCGCCAGCTGTTGAGAACATGCTCAGGACAGTTCGGACGTTGCGGTGAATCAGAGGTAAAAAACGATATAAATACTGTTCAGTTTCTTGCACAGACCAATCGTTTCGTGTCTTTACACATCAATGTATCGTCACGATGAATGACAGACTGCAATGGTTTGAGTTAAAAATCTTTGTTTGTGTTCTACTGAAGAAACAAAGTCACCTACATCTTGGATGCCCTGGGGGTAAGCAGATAAACATCAAATTTTCATTTTTGGGTGAACTATCCCTTTAACGTGACATAACAAACGCAGTCAGGTTGTATCCAGGTTGTTCATCTACCCTGTATCGCAAAAAAGGCCAAGAACTAAGCTTAAAAACTACAAAAGTGCGTCCGACAGAGGTCATCCTGTTTTATGGACTAAGGCTTGGTTGCACAGTGTAATGTGAGTAACTTGAATAACAGCAGGGTGTAAGGATGAACTTACAAAGCCAGCTTCCAGATCCCAACACCAGCAATAGTTGAGGAATCTCACAATCACGGCTCGTAAGAAGTCCCCTATCAGAATGGTCAGGTATGTCACCTGAATATCAGATACGGTGAGCTTCACAAACTCCTGTGAGGAAAGAAAACGGTACATTTTAAGCCTACAAGTACCATATCTGATACGTGAATGTTAATTACAATGAATGGAATACATTTTCTTACTCTTTGTATTTTTATATCAATATGGTACAAGATTATCCTATTTAAATCAATGTGATAAACAAGTTAGGTCAAAAGTAATCTAAAAGTAGTCTGATTATATTACCTGAAATGTGTAATGTAATGGATTATGTTATTTGGAATCAGTAACTGATTACAATTTGTAAGTAATCTACCCAGCTCTGATTATGATAGGTTGGTGATGGTGATGCTGGTGCTGACGGTACCTACAATGCCAACTTCTGTCTCCCAGCAAGGACCCCTGATGACATCAGCTGGGGAGATGTTTGGAGGGGGAATGTTTTCTGTGACATTATGGTATAAGGTGTAGTTGGCATAGTATTCTTTAAGAGCCCAGATGGTTTCATTTTTTATCTCCTTCTCATTTTCAAGCTGTGAACATATAATACCAGAGAAATGATTCACATAAAATATTACGGGATTAGTAATAACCACTTGGTTCATCCCAAAACTCTTAAGTAGAGTAATATCCCCTTTTTACTATGTTTATGGTTACTAGACCATCTATTTATCGTCATACCTTTGCATTGACTTCATCAAACAGCGCAAACAGAAAAGTGTACAAGTTGCCCAGAAAGAGGGCGAAGATTCTGCCCAGCTGCCATTTTAGGGCGATTCGAGGGTGATAGTTCTCCAGCTCAGCTATAACCTCAAACAGAGGTGGACACACCAAGCCCAACAGTGACATCACAATTTCAACCTGAGCGAAGAGAAAACAGAGTTTCAGAATTCTTTTTTTTTTAAGGCAATTAAAAGGCAAAAGAAAAGGGGTACCTCGTTTTTTTGAAGCCATGACAATTCATTCCTGTCCTTTTTGGCAAACTCCTGAGATCTTTTGACCACATAGTAGATGAGGTATCCGCTCCCACCCAAGCAGCACAGGATGAGAAGGTTTGCCAGGACACGTAGAAAACGCTGCAGGTGAATGTTCTCATCCTTTAGGTTCTCCTGCTCATCCACTATAGACTCCTGAGGGAATAAGACATGGTTTTAGATCAGTCTACACAGACCCAACAATACGTTTTTGTCTTAGCATAGTGCACCATTCTTTGATACTATTAATGTCATTTACCTTGAAGCTTGTGGTGGTGGAGGCAAACTTGTTGTCAGCTGTTTCTGGATTTCCTATAAGGAAATCCCAGCTAGTGAACAGCTTCCAGCAGAAGGTGAAGGCACCATCCTCTGCTCCATCTCCTCCTTCATTGGCATTTCTTGCCATTCTAGAAGAAGGAAAGTGATTTTAAAAAAGAAAGAAAGAGGGTCCACATTATCAGCCGATTATCAGAGCATTGTCAGTGAGTAAAATGCTTCACAGAACTGCAAATGTAGTCATTAGACCTACGTTCTGATTACCACCATTAGACTGTAGCCAAATATCCCAAGTCCAACTAAAAGATATGACAGGGGTAACCGGAACTGCAGCAATCCAATACTTCGCTGATAATTGTAATAACCATAAAACATAATGGAGTACTTGCAATAACCCTGTAAAAAAGCAAAAGGTATAATCCAAATAAGACAACAGCAACCTTACAACCTCTTTTACACAGAATCCGTTGTAAAAAACCCTTACTCCAAACTCAAACAGGACAGAGAAGTCCATGGCACTGTCCTGCTCCTCTCTGGGAACTGTTTTTCTGGCAATGGAGCCATAAGGCATGCCCATCAGTACCTACAGAGAGAAAGACACAGATTGCATTAGTGTAGCTTTTTTATTCAGCAAGGACGCATTCAATTTTATGCGACAGTAAAAAGACATTCATATTGTTATAAAAGATTTAGTATTTCATATTAAATGCTGTTTGTTCGACCTTTCGTCAAAGAAACCTGGAAAACTGTATCACGGTTTCCACAAAAATATTAAGCAGCACAACTGTTTTCAACACTGATAATAATAATAAATGTTTCTTGAACACCAAAACAGTATATAAGAGTGATTTCTAAAGTATCGTGTGACACTAAAGATGCAAAAAAAATTCAGCTTTGCCATCACAAGAATAAATTATATTTTAAAAAATATAGGTAGTGTAGGTGGTGTACATTGTATAAAAGGTGTATTAACAAAGACATTAGCATCACATCTCACCTCTGGAATAACAACAAGTCCAAACACAAAACCAAAGAGAACAAGGTTTAATCCATACATCCACCGCAGGAAAATGAAGTAGGAGGCAACAGATGACCCAAAGTGGCCTGCGAGAATGAAACCGATGAGAAGCTATTAAGAAACACGCTGAAAATACAGGTGCATCTCAATAAATTAGAATGTCGTGGAAAAGTTCATTTATTTCAGTAATTCAACTCAAATTGTGAAACTTGTGTATTAAATAAATTCAATGCACACAGACTGAAGTAGTTTAAGTCTTTGGTTCTTTTAATTGTGATGATTTTGGCTCACATTTAACAAAAACCCACCAATTCACT